ACACATAAAAGTGCTGAGCCCGCATGTTGTGGAAGAAATGTGCCGAACAGAAGGACGGCTTCTCTCTGCTTTCGCTTTCTGCTCGCGTGAGTCGCCGAGGCCTTCGATGAGGTCAGAGACAGACCCAGATCCCCCAGCAGAGACCAGTCCACTGTGGACAGACCCAGATCCTCCAGAGACCAGTCGACTGTGGACAGACCCAGATCCTCCAGAGACCAGTCGACTGTGGACAGACCCAGATCCCCCAGCAGAGACCAGTCCAGCGCAGACCGACCCAGATCCCCCAGCAGAGACCAGTCCACTGTGGACAGAACCAGATCCCCCAGCAGAGACCAGTCCACTGTGGACAGAACCAGATCCCCCAGCAGAGACCAGTCCACTGTGGACAGACCCAGATCCCCCAGCAGAGACCAGTCCACTGTGGACAGACCCAGATCCTCCAGAGACCAGTCCACTGTGGACAGACCCAGATCCCCCAGCAGAGACCAGTCCACTGTGGACAGACCCAGATCCCCCAGCAGAGACCAGTCCACTGTGGACAGACCCAGATCCTCCAGAGACCAGTCCACTGTGGACAGACCCAGATCCCCCAGCAGAGACCAGTCCACTGTGGACAGACCCAGATCCTCCAGAGACCAGTCCACTGTGGACAGACCCAGATCCTCCAGAGACCAGTCCACCGCAGACCGACCCAGATCCCCCAGCAGAGACCTGGGGTTTTTCTAAAGGGACCCTGGTGGCAGGAGACACTACCACTTTAGTCCACAAGAACCAGCAGAATCAACACAAATAGTGTGAAGTAACAATAACATTAGAGCTTTGTCGTCACTGACGAGAAAATAAATGAAATGAAAGAATCATAAGTCTCATTGACTTCTGAGGTTTGCGGTTAATAAAGTTGTTAAGTTAATGTTTTTTAGTCTTCACCCAGAGCTGAGGAAAGTCATTCCTGGCCAACGTGCAGAGCGTCAGCATGTGGTTCGATGTCTAATATCTCCTCGATCTGGAAGCGTCCCGCCTGGAGCTCTGAGGAACATTAGCACGCCAGCACAATCTGCAGCAATTAGCCCTCAGCCATTAGTTCTCTCATATGCTGCCAAGCATGGAACCTCGCTGGAGACCCCCACAGGTAGAAGCAATTACTCACTCGTTGATGCCATGTGTGGACGAGCTGTGTGCAAGACGCACGAAGGAGAATCCTTTCTGAATTCATAAATCTGGTGTTTTTCACATCGTTTTAGCCTGATTGATATCTCACGCGATCATCTGAAGGACCCTTTTTTGTTTTGATTTTGGCAACCCCATCACATTGTAAAGACCCGCAGCTGTCAGACTGCATTAAAACCTCCCATTGTACTGCAGCAGGGCCTCTCGGTCCTGGTTCTGGTTCTGAGCGTGCAAGCAGCAGAGCCCTCCTCCTCCTCGTCGGGCTTCTCAACTGGTTCCTCAGAGTTACTTCAGTGTCCCTGTGGTACGGATTCCTTTTCACACGTTTTCATTCGCTGCAGCACAAAGTTCCTGATGTGTGCCGGGCTCTGAAGTATCAAAGGCCCCCGCGGGGTCCGTCTTCCATAGTCAGCAGTTCAGACCCTCTCAGCTCGGTGGGACTTGTGTTTGCAGAAGGAAGGAAGATGTTCTACATTTCACTTACAGAGGAGGAGAGGCCCATGCTCCTACTTCTATATTCAAGTCAGAACTTCCAAGAGCTTTTATTATTCTTCCTCCTGTTTCAACCGTTTCTTTTTATGGGTCTGTATGCTGTTGAACGCTGCCCCGAGGGCCGCTCACGTTAAAGGTCTTTTTGGAAAAAAGAAGGAGATGGTATCCAGATGTGAATGTATGTTTTCGCCTTGACTCTTCAAAGGGATCTCCATGTGTGTGTGTGTTTGTGTGTGTGTGTGATTCAGAAATGATTGTGACGCTTGGTCGCGTAAAACATTGTTACAAGTGGGACCATTGAAGGTGCAGGCGAGCGTTTGACTCAATGGGTTTTATCGATGGAGGAAAAAGAAAGTAGGACTTTTGCAGCGGTGACATATTGAAGATGATGTAATGTCTCTCCTTTAAGAAGGAGTGGCACCATGCAGTATCAGGTGATTCTGTTGGGGGGGTCTGAATGCGTTCGTGGTTTTTGTTGCTGCTGACATCCATCGTGCACAATTAACGAGTCTCCTTAATAATAATATTTAATTTACTATTTACTCCTACTCTATTTCCAGCCAACTGACAAGTATTTCTCCTTGTTTCCTCTCTCATGCTGATCTGCATTCTGATATAAATCACTAATCGGCCTTTTCTTCTTCACCAAGCAGCTCTCCTTCGACGATCATCAAACCGTTCTTCTCCCCTGGGCAGGTGAGTACATTCATTCTGACAGAAGCCGACACTCCATTTGTTTAGCTGCATTCTTTGCAGTGACCAGCAGGGGGCGACTCCTCTGCTCCCATAGACGTCTATGAGGAAATGACTCTACTTCTCTGTAGTGACCAGCAGGGGGCGACTCCTCTGCTCCCATAGACGTCTATGAGGAAATGACTCTACTTCTCTCTTGATTTATTCCCTCAGTAAACGTTGTAAACATGAGTTTATGGTCTCAGTCTCTAGTTTCAAGTCTTCTTAAACACAACATGATGTTCATTTAGTGAATGATGGTCCATTTAGAGTCAAACAGACCAAAAAGCAGGGGAGGCTTTAGGGCGGGGCTTAGTGTGATTGACAGGCCTGTTCACCGGTTGCAAAAAACGAGATGGCAAAATAGAATTGTCAAACTCAAGGCGTCATAACATTAGACATACGTACATCAGTCCACAACGAGTGACATCCAACGACTACGTCCAATAAGTGACGT